TTGGGGTGGGCATGTCTTGCGCTTTCTGTCCATAGGAAAGCAACAAAGGCATTAATGAATTTGCAGGCAAAGCTTCTGTGAAAGTGAGGAAAACCAGACAAAAACCGATGCAGAATCAGAATCAAATCAACTATGCACCCTCACCTTCTCTATCGATCTTTTTTTTTTTTAATAATTTAAAATTATTTACATATATTAATTAAAAAATAAATAAATTACGTGAGATTTGAACACACCACTTTTATAAGAGGTTTAATCTAAAATTCATGCCATTGGGGTCGGACGGCCGTTCCTCTTCTATCCATCTTTCACCCTCTCTCAGTGGAGAGGAATAGGAAAAAGACCCAAGAACCATAATGTCGGTCTCAGTTTGTGTTGGAAATCAAAACCAACCACCAAACCTTTTACGGCACGGCCTTCCTTAATGTAGCCCCTACTCATTCCAAAATTACTATCACATGTAATATTTCATGCACGACCCTAATCACAACTTAGACTATACTACTCGGATAACTACAGTAGCATAATCAAATCTATCAATCTAATATGATATGATGAGTTAATAATATTTTGATATGTAAATATTAAAGATCATTAAAAGTGATAATTAGTCCATCTTTGTATTTTTGTTCTAAATTGAACTTGATGATTACGACTTTGCCGGGGCAGAATTGGTCCTTACCGAAACACACTCAAATAATGGGAGTGAGTCATTTAACTCAATATATCGTGTGCTCAGATTTCCATAAAAAACCAAGCTCCAAGAAAATAAAGTATTAAGCCCTGTTTGCAGTCGCGGAGAACCTAACACTCAGACTTTTCATTTCAAATCTCTGTTCCTCTCTCTTCACGAGGTTGCACGCCTACCCCATTACTCTCCTTCGGTAAAAACCTATTTTTAATTTTTTATATTATGAATGAAGGTTTTAATTTTTTATCTTAATAAATTTTTAAATTTTAGTTATTTACTTATTAAAATAAAAAAATAATTTTTATTTTATACTGATTATTAACTTTATTAGTTAAAAATAAATTTTTGTTAATCAATAATCAATTAATAGTTAATTAAAAAAATTAATAAAATATTATAAAATTAGTTTTGATAATTTTATTAATTAAAATTTTTTTATTAATTAATAATCATTTAATAATTAACTAATAAAATTAATAATTAACTAATAAAATTAATAATTAATTAATAAAACTAATAAAATATTACAAAGT